ATATTGCATTGCGACGGCGTTGATTTACTCGGTCGGATTAGACATGGGGAGATTAAAAATATATCACAACCAGCGTATGGTCACTGAAGACCTGCATGAGGATAGAGGGCTTGTATTTGTTGATGTCTTCTCCTAGAACTGTACACTTATACCCTTCTTCTAAAACACAACGCCCTGTCCAGAGCTTCTCCCTGCATCAGAAATTTCTTCAGTGCTTCTCGCCCTCGGCATGATCTTCGGCATGACCCTCGCCGTGACCATCGGCAGCACGGTTTTGGCGAGCAAGACGGAGGTTCTTGTCGACAACGAAGTGTCGCAAGCTCGAGTAACCCGCAGCGAAGACGGCAAAACCGACGACGACACCTATAGGATTCATAAGCCTTCGCCCCTTGCCCATAGAAGTATATGACTAACCGAGGGGAATCAACTCGGGCGGAATTTTGCGCAGTCTTCGCAGACGTTGAGAGACGGTGTGAGCTACGTAGAGGTCCATGTTAGTCCATAATTGCCGCAGAGGAGGCCGTCTAGAGCTTGAAACAGCATCGTATATCGAAGGCATCGTAGCTTGGATGGCCAATTGGCAGCATTGACATACCCGCTTGCTCCTCGTTCTATGATTTTGCCCTGTTAGCAACGACCGCCAGCTTGGTCGACTGATGCTTCAAGGCACTCACCGGGACAGGCCGCATCATGCGGCGCGTGGGCTGGAACATCCTCAGGGTCGAAGAGGGATACATGTTTGCGGATTGAGTGGAGATGGATCGGGATACGGTCAGCAAGCCTTTCGAGGCGGAAGGGTGAGCTGGCCGAGGTGTAAAAGAGAGGTCGGTCGGGTTGCTGAAGCTAGAGACAGACGTTTGGCCGGCCGGATCAGGTCAGGGCAGGTTTCGTCAATGATCAGAGGAGAAGCTCGGCTGTCTCCACCACTCACATCAGCCCATTTTGTCAATTTCGGCCTGAACTTCCAGGCTGCCGTCCGTTCGTCCACTCATCATCAACCATCAATTCCGAATGCTCCCTCCCTCACCTTGGAGCTGCTTTGCATGATACTTCTACGTTGACGCCGCCATCACCGTCCACCCCGCAAGCCATTGACCTCTACCCGACCTCAAGCGTCAATCGATACCTCTAGATCCGCCAAGATGTCTGACGACGACCGCGTTACCAAGCCCTTCAAGTTCGTTACTGGTATGAAATCCTGCTGAAAATGACCTCAAAAATAATCGCATGATCCCCTTGTGCTAACTGTAGCTGCTAGCTGGTATGCCACAACCCTCTTCAATGCGAATGCCATGGGTGCCGCCAACCCATTCGCACTCACCGCCGTTATATGACCATCGATTTGACAGAGTTTTATAGGTGTTGACGCCCGGTTCCCGAACACCAACCAGACCAAGCACTGCTGGCAGAACTATGTCGACTACCACAAGTGCATTCTAGCCAAGGGCGAGGACTTCCCGCCCTGCCGCCAGGTTCGCCATACAGAAAACATTATTGCAGAAGGATTGCGATTGACTTTCGACTAGTTTTGGTTGGCCTACCGGTCTCTGTGCCCGAGCGGCTGGTATCAGCGATGGGATGAGCAGCGAGGTACGTGACTCTAGACCTCAAACCCAAGGCCGAGAAGCTAGCTACTAACATGAACACAGAGGCTGGAAACTTCCCTGCGCGTCTGGAGTAAGTCGGAGCTTGCGAATGTGTCTTGAAAGGATCATAGGTTACTCGACCGTGTTGTATTAGGATGTCCATAGGCGAGGACCAAATTAGAATTGAAGCTGACGCTTGCTGATTTAACGTCGACAACAAGTGAAATCCTTTCTACACATGACAAGCCTTCTTCAAAGCACACTTCTGACCCACGTACACTTTATCATAACATCCTCGTCTTTGTGAATGTAAATTCATAGAGTTTAAACAGGGTTATGTGCCAGTACCACTAAATTACAACGGAGAGAAGGATGTATTACCAGTTATGCATTTCACAGTTAGAGTGATAGTGCCTTTTACGACCAATTTTACTGCCTTGTTTTACATTCGGTATCGAAGATGTATATCATCTCTTGCTGCTGTAATAACGCCTAACCCCAGTATTCCCTATGGATATGCCGAACAGCCCCCTATTTGCAATCAAGTATGATGCAATCGAGACTAGAACTAAAGCCACGATGACCGCCGATCTTTTGTAGCGCCTCAGGTGAAAAAAATATCTGGAAATGATTCGGTTACTTCTTTCCGGCTTCCTCAGCATCCTCCTCGTCAGAACTCATAAATTCATCATCCTCGTCAAACCCAAAGAAGGTTCGCGCTTTAACACCCTTAACAGGAGCTTCGGACTCAGATGTTGGCGTTGTGGCCTTTGAACTGCTGGCCTCCTCAGGCTGTTCCTCGTCTGCAGAGACTTCATCGCTCGGGGTTGAAGAGTTTGATCCTTGAGATGTGCTCAGAAGATTGTCCTTGTAGTTTCCAGCCTTCATAGCCGCGAGAACAGCCTCACGGGTCCGTTCACCAGCCCCTTCTTTCTCTTCCACCCACTTGCCATCAACCGTGGCCTTTCCACCACCACGCTTGATTTCCTCTTCTCTCCTTTCTGCTAGTTCAACGATTTGTTCCCATCGTTCTCGTCTCTTCTCCTTCTCCTTGCGCTCCATGTCGGGTTTGATGGCGAGGTACTCTGCAAGCGCTTTCGCCTCGGTGACAGTACGCAACCGCCTTCCATCGAGATTTCGGCTGGAGCCGTTGTTGTCGCCTTGATTCTTCTTCTTCTTTGATGACATGCGACCACCGGCAGCACGAAGCTGGGAGCCGAAACCACCTTTTCCACCGCAAAGAGGAAGGGAGAGGCGAAGGGAGAGGAACTCATCGTGAGTGCTGGAGAGAAGATCTGAGATCGGCCTTGCTGAAATCACCGGAAGCTCCTCATTTCCTATGGTAGTGATAAGAAGTCGAGAGTCGGTCTGTGGTAGTCTATCATTCAATCGATCCCGTAGTTCTGATATCGTTGTTGACTGAGGGAGCGGAAGTGACAAAGTCGGAGGGAGGCCTAAACCACCAAAGGTAGTGATGAGGACGTTGACCTGACTTGAAGGCATGGTCACTTCCGAACCTTAAGTCGAGTGGAAGAAACTTCGTCGCAGAAGCGAGTTTCAGTACGCCGATGTACGCTGGTTGCTCCTGCTTTCGCGCGTCCACCCCGAAATAATGAGATTATCGTCGATGGGAGGCGAACTTCTGGGAGTGAGATGGTTTGATGCGGCTAGCATATCTTGGTTATCAAGAGGGTTATCTCCGATTAGTGAGTAGTGTGGCTGAGTGGCTTAGTTGGGGCTGGAGAATTTCTCTGGTCCACTATTTCTGCGCACGGACCACTTCACTTCCCAGGCCTAGGGCCTACCAGCCGAATTTTGGTCCGCACAACCACCAAAATTTCAAGCCCATCCTACGATTTCCCTTCACCAACACTTCGACAACTCGAATCCCGCCAGTCGTCGACAAATCTGCCAAGATGCTTATTCCCAAGGCAGACCGAAAGAAGATCCACGAGGTATGCGATACACCACCATTTGAACCATCTACTCCTCGAGGGTATTTGTCCGAAAGGCTCCTGGCGGAAGTCTCAGCAACGGCTGGAGCCCCGCGGTGATCCTCGAGACATTTGCTGGCTTCGCCAAAATTCCAATTCCGTCCTCAATGCTAACGTCTCTAATAGTACCTCTTCCGAGAGGGCTGTGCCGTGGCAGCTAAGGATTAGTGAGTCCCCGGATAAAATTCACGTTGTATATGAAGGGCACAAGCTTATACTCTCACCTGTAGCAACTTGGCCGCTCACCCCGAGATCGAGGGTGTCAAGAACCTGTTCGTCATCAAGGCTCTCCAGTCCTTGACCTCCCGCGGCTATGTCAAGACCCAGTTCTCGTGGCAATACTGTATGTCGACATGTCCCGAATCGACCGGCAGATGGCAACTGGGCGATGTTATGGCGATGATGAAATGCTAAACTATCGTGCAGACTACTACACCCTGACTCCCGAGGGTCTCGACTACCTACGCGAGTGGCTGCACCTTCCCGCCGAGATTGTCCCTGCGACGCACATCAAGCAGCAGCGATCCCACGCTCCTCCCCGTGGCATGATGGGTGAGGGTGAGCGCGAGCGGAGACCTTTCGGTGGACGTGGCCGTGGCGACCGTGGCGACCGTGAGGGCGGATACCGACGACGTGATGCTGGTGAGGGCAAGGAGGGTGGTGCTCCTGGCGACTTCGCTCCTCAGTTGTAAGTCACAACTCAAGATCTTGACAGGGAGGGTCACGCATTTGCTAACCTGTCTCTAACAGCCGTGGTGGCTTTGGCCGTGGTCGTGGCGCGCCGCCATCATAAGATGGTTCTTACTTGAAGAGGTTAACCTATGGCATGGATACGGCACCACTTGTACTTTTGGGAACTGGCGGGCCGAGCATTGATGAACCTCCCGGGACGGACACCGCGAGACATTTGCTTTAGGAGTTATTGAGGTTAGAGACCCTCGGAAAACAAAGCATCAGGACATCTAGCACCAGAATTCGATTGCAAACTTGTGAGACGTCGGGAACGACGTATGACCAGATACGGGATACTTTCCATGCCTTCATTGCAAGAATCGCTTGAAACAGTCTGCGCCATTTGTCACTGATTCCGTCTGAGATATCATACGCGTGTTGAGGCAGATCTTGTTCTCCTAAAGAGATAGAGAAGTTGAGTGTACCCATAAATGCGTTCGGTGGGTAGCGGATGTCTTCACCCCTAGCCCTAAACAAGGACCTAGAGGCAAATTCCTCTCTATGCCTGAACTACCAGCTTCACAGCGGGTGAACGATTGTGAGCGCCCATGTGTCTTATGATTTCAGCAGTATGCGATGGGCTATTCGCATCAGTCGTGAGATTGCTTCTCTTAGGGAAATGAGTCTCGATGCAATCATCTCTCTGGAGATAGCAGTGTCTGGACTTCCAAAGGACTCAAAACATGTTTGAGAAATACGGCGTCTTAGGCACGACGGAGTTTCAATATCTACTTGCTTGGCAACAGCCATGGAGTCATGCAGATGCCAACTAATTCATCATTCCCCCCAGAGCACTTTGACCAACTGCTTAGTGTCTACATGGAACCCTCAAGCATGCATAACCCAGATAGACAGGCAGACAAAGCGTTGAGGGCCTGAGGGGGTCTGTTACACTGCCACTGGTGTGCAGGAGCAACAGTGTGCATGTTTCCGAGTTGATTGGCGTCCCGTAGTTTGCGAAGTGGACCGGCCAACGAACATTGCTGGGGCAGTTTCTGGGGGTTGCGAATCGGTTTGGGGCGCCAATTTAGCCATCCCTAAAGCGCTTGAGGTCTCACAGCTTGCAGGTGGTCTAAGCCTGCACGATGACGGTGACTGTGCTGGATGGCGGGGGCAAGCTCCTTGCAACTCTGCAAGCAGTGAATCCCTCCGATTGCCCCTCCACGCTTCACCACTCGCCCTATCTCGAACCACTTGTCACCCGTCTTGTCAAGCGTCTGATCAACTGATAAAGTGCGAGCGGTCAGCAGCAGAGGTAGATTCTGCTTGATTCTCATCAATTGGATAAATATCTCCCGTGTCTTCTTCACTCTGAAAACCTGTCAGCCCCCCACCACTCATTGCCAATCTCTTTGCAACCTCTCTAAGACGTTCAGATTAGACTAAATTCTTCACAATGGCCGATCTTCCCAAGACCATGAAGGCATTGCAGTGAGTCTCCGGTTTTGCCGTTTCCCCAGACATGATGCCCCTCTTTTGTCAAGGCACTCGTGTGGATCAGAACCCCATAACATGGAGACTCAACATACAGGAGAAACTGCCTATAGACTGACGAGACCATTGCAGGTATGCCAAAGCAGAGGACTTCTCCGTAGTTGAGGTTCCCCTGCCAGAAATTCGAGATGACGATGTCCTCGTCAAAGTCAAAGCATGCGGTGTGTGCGGAACAGGTATGCATATAGTCACCGTAAAATCGATATCTAGTGAAATGCTGACTTGCTTATTAGATCTGGTATGCTGCTACTAGAGAGCACCTCGATACAAGTCGTGTATTGACTTTCACCTAGCACATCCACGAGGGAGAATTCATTGCAAAATTCCCTCTGATCCCCGGTCACGAGACTGTGGGCGTTGTTGCTGCCGTTGGCAAGGATGTCAAGTCGTTCAAGGTTGGCGACCGGGTTGCAGCCGACAACTCAGAACTGTGTGGTCACTGCTTCTACTGTCGCCGTGGCGAGCCTTTGCTCTGCGAGAATGTGAGTTGGAAAGGCTCAATGCCCGATTGTACAACCTCACCTAAACAACTGATAGTGGTCCGGCCACGGTACAACCCTTCCAGGTGGTTTCGCCGAATACTGCGCCTACCCTCAGAAGCAGATCTTTCCAATCAAGAACCTTAGTGATGTTGAGGCTACTCTAATTGAGCCTGCGTCTTGCGCTTGCCATGGTCTTGATAAGATTCGCCCTCGCCTAGGATCGAGCGTTCTGATGTTTGGTGCTGGTCCCACCGGTCTTGTAAGTCCACGAGGGATCACTTTCTCTTGTAGCTCGCTAATTGAGTTCCGAAGATGCTGGCCCAGCTACTGCGGCAGAACGGAGGTTGCTCTGTGACCATCGCTGCACCTGGAGGTCTCAAGATGGATCTGGCGAAGAGCTTGGATGCTGCGGATCACTATGTCGAGCTGTCTCGAACCGACCCTAGCGCACAGTTCGATCAGATCAAGAAGGACAATCCTTATGGCTTTGATGTTGGTGAGTAGTAAATTGATCTAAACAAGTAGCTGTTGTTGGACGAAAAACTGATGGTATTTGCGCAGTTGTCGAGGCCACCGGCTCGGTCAAGCTTCTTGAGGATGCTATCAACTACTGCCGACGTGGAGGCACGCTTGTAGTCTACGGGTGAGTTGTATCACCGGTTTGTGACTTGAGATGTACTATACTTATTATATTTTCAGAGTTTACGCCCACTCTGCTCGTGTCTCTTGGCCACCCGCCAAGATCTTTGGAGATGAAATCCGAATTATTGGATCTTTCTCCGAGACTTTCATGTTCCGTAAGTTGACTAGTTGCTCGTCATAGTTCTTTGCTAATGAGTATTTACAGCGGCAACTATCGAATATCTCGACTCGGGGAAGATCAAGACCAAGGGCATTGTCAACAAAACCTTCAAGTTGGAGCAGTTTGGCGAAGCCCTGCAGTCTATCAAGGACAAGAGCGCCATCAAGGCAGCCATTGTCTTTGACTAATTATCACAAATTGACGATGCGTAATGTTTTCCTAGTGCAAATCGGACGAATACTGGAGAGCATTCATTTATTAGGCTGCTAGAACTACATTAGAACATTTTCTGGTTCTTAATAGGTAGGCGCGGTGTCGATCCAACAGAACAAACGAATTAAAATCTGTCGAGCAGAACTATTGCTCAACCTCCTCATGTTTAGTGCACCTTGGTGTTTCGGCTTCAAGTTTACCCCAACTCTTCGGCTGCATGTGACGATCCTATAGTCCAAGATTTCTCGCTGCCTCCCATTTCGTTGGGCTT